GTGACATTAATATTATGACCATTAAAGTATGAGAAGATGCTGGATTTAGAGCGTGAAGCTAAAAGCTTCTGAAGAGTGCTGCAGCATTGCACGTACGACTTAAAGCTTCCCGTTTTGACATCAGGGAGTTAGATTGCAGAGCAGAATCCAGATTCGACACTCATGCAGACGCTGTATCCATCAGAATACTACAGAGACCAAAACGCGAGGGAGGCCGCGTCCAAAAAGGGCTCAACTCCTCAGTCATTCATCCGAAGTGGCTGTAAAAGCTTCACATCATAATCTGCGTGCCATTTTTGCATCCAAAGCGCTAAGAGCGCCGAGCCAAAAACTTAATGTACTGCTGTGCCGATGGAGCCGACTCTTCACATTATGCATATTCCACCATCCTGCCCAGAATTCCCCCTGCAACCCTCTCCCAACCTGAGGGAGGTTTCTAAAAATGGCAGAAAGCTTAGCGTCTGTGACAGGAGACGTCACGCGGGAGGATAGCGACTTTGATGAGACCTGTGCTTTTAGAGGCCTCTTTTGTTAGCAGGCAGATAAATCATCCCTCTAGCAGCCAGCTTAGAGTGTATACAACCAGATAAGGTTGCCAAGGAAACCCTCCTGGAGAACCAATGAGGTTTTTTTTGGTGTTTTTTTTCTGCTGTACCAGCCTCCTTTATCTGTACAAACAATTAATACCTTAGCCAGGCAGAAGGTGGGGGCTGGGGAAGTGGGAGGCAGGCACAAATCCCCAGGTGCTCCGTGCACCACTCTCCCCTCAGATATGTGAATGAGGACGAGGTAAAAAATGCTACAAATGGATATTGGGCTGGAGAAGACTGAGAGATGATGTATGACTCGTTGCACATTAATTCAATGAGAGAACAGCGCTTAGTCCATAAATCTCATCCCTACACGTGCACCAGCACATCACTAATGTCCTTTTAATGAATGTTTGCAATGCTCAGCCATAAAAGTGCCGTTACATCCAGTCACATCATTTGTAAAGGTGGCTGAGATTGCGCTGGTATCAGTGCAGCTGCACACACCCCGACGTGCACAACTGCTGGGGAGCTATTAGGTTCCACGGGAGACTCGGACTCGCCACAGATCGATGCTCTGTGGCCCTATCTGTTACTGACATCCAATTACAGCAATGGACGTCCACTTAGCAGTGCTACTAAGTGCTTTAGTCTGGTTACTGACTACCTGTCCACAGCCTGCACGCGGTGTAGCCTTTGGCTAATAATCATCTATTGATCCATCCGCAAGATCACCAGCATGTTAAGTGTATAAAGAGGACAGTGATGCAATAGAAAGACGCGACACTAAAATGTGCCTCAGCTGTTAACCAGGCGTTTCACATCATTCAGCATACTTAATTAGGACGCAGATTTTGCAGAAGTTTGATTAGTGCAGGCTTGCAGTAAACGTAATTACCCACCACATTAACTGAGGGAGGAAATTGGCTGTGATTGAAAAAGCTAAGCAAACATGGAAACAAATGGCAAAGATGCCAGAGACCGAACGGCGCGACCAGGGAGCGACGACGAGTCGATGTAAGTGGCGCACAGAGTAGGAGGTTTCAAACCTCCGCGTGTTTATTCTGCGCTCGAACGGCGTGGAGTGGAAATGGCAGGCGCAATCGCCGCCTGCCTGCTTCATTGACTAATGGCGGTCATTAAGCGGTTAGAAAGTCACCTCACCTGGTGTAAGGGGAGGAACTCAGCGACTGCCTGAAATTAATCACAATCAGAAAGCTG